CTGAGTGGAAAATCGCTTTGTATTCTCAGAAATACATTTAAATGTCAAAATACATGTTAGGGATCATGTGAGCCTAGGTCAGTGGTGCTGAGAACTCAGGTTTGCTGTTGTACTGTCTTTTGTAACCTCTTTTACTCTCCAGTCTGGGGAGGAGGGTGGGTAGGTTTGGGATTTATTTATTTGCCTTAAATAAAGCTAACTATTGATAGGACTTAACAGACTTTGTTGTAGAACCCACTCAGCCATATCTATCCAGCTCTTCCCCTTTTGCATCTCTTCCTCCTCAAAACATTTGTCTCAGAACTGGGCTTCTACTCCTGGCTAATTGCCATTAATTTCAGTGAGCGCAATGTGCGAGAAAGACCTAACTTTGTATTTCAATTGAATATAATATTTGCTTTTAAAATATATTTAGTTTTAAATGAGTTTCTGAGGTCTTTATTACTCATTTCTAAATGTGCAAAGAAAATCTAGTGTATTCCTCAAAAAAGTTATATTCAATTTGCTTCATGATCATCTATAAAAATTAAGCTGTTTTTCTATAGGAGAGTTGGAGATGTGTTCATTTTAAGTAAGTGCGTTGAATAGGAGGAGGAAGGAGCACAAGGGAAAGTGGAAGCATGGTCATAAATAAAACAGTATCTGATACAGCTTGATGCTATCAAAATTTTTGAAAAGTGCAGTCAGTAAAATGACCTTAACTGCCATTCAAACAGCAACTTAGTGTTTAATTCTTAGTGTGGCTGAGAGAATACTTTTCAAACATATAACTTGCTTGAGATTTGAACAACAGTAGTGGAAAAGTGTATGTGAATCAGAATATTCTCTTGTTCTGAGGCTATTAAGTATTCTCAAAATGCTTAATGTTTCTTTTTTAAATTATGGGGTTTTTTTTAATCTTCAAGTGTTGATGCTACTGAACATAGTTGGTTAGGAGCATAGTTTCTGGGAGCTAATGAACTCACTAACTTTTTTTACTTGTAGCTTAACCCTTTTATGTTGCAGCCTTTCACTGCAGCTGGAGTGCAAAAAGTAGTCCAACAGTGTGCAGCAGATGTTTCTTACATTTACTGTATGCTGTTTAGATAAACCATATTGAAAAGCATGAGCCAGAGCTGATTGGCATTGGTACAGTTCTGATCTAGTCACAGTCAGTAGTCATTAGTTCAAATTTCAGTTTTCAAATGGAAGGTACTTACAGAGTATTAAAGAAAACAAATTGCCAAAAAAGGATGAGGACAGTAGGGGAATCCTGTGCCCAGGATCTCTGCAGGAGCTGACTTTGGAAAAGAGCTGTGAATTACCCCCTTACAATTCTGTTTTCAGTCCCTAGTCATGTGTAGATTATGGTACAAGAATAACCCCATGAAATTTAGGGTTTATTGTCTAAATAATTCGCAAGTGGTTTTATGTTCTTAAATCTTATTGTGAATCTTTTCTAATCAATTTTAAGAAAACCAGAATTTACTCACAAAGAACAGTCACCTTGGACATGCTAAATTCCAAGGTTTTTTAATCAGTGGTACTGTAAATGTGCTTATCTGACTGTACATTTCATTCTAGTGTTGTCCTGATCTATTAGTTACCCATTCTAATACTTGTGTGCCTTTGAAGGGTCTGAGCATAGTTACACTGTATTTCAATAATAGATATTTTAAATATGAACTATGCTCTTTTTTGATTAAACCTTAAACAATGGGGTAGAGATTTTTCTGCACTTAGAATTTATTGATTTCCAAGTAAGCATTGCTGGGCCAAACCCAAAACAATATAGAGATACCAGTAAAAATAGAGGACTTAAACCCTTGGAGGTTTTACAGTGGTTTTTCAGGTGGCATTAAAAAATTAACTACATTTAAATATTTTATGTTATAGCATAAATATTATATTGCTCTGATACAATTACTCTAAAATAAGTATTTTCTTTCTTAGATTTTGAAATATTCTTTTGCAAGCTGGAAAGGTTTGAACATCATCTTGAGTTGATAATTGTGGGTTAGGATGTCCTTCTGTTTGTATTTGCGAATGCTGCAATAGTAGAGTCTTTATTTTTGTTCCCATTACTTGGGTTGAAAAGCTGAAACTGCTTTTATACACATACAGTTGTATGTCTTTTTCCAGCATGGATTGCTGGAATTGACTTGGACATGGTTGTGTTCAAAAAATTTAAAAAGGGAGTGTGGTGGAGAAAAAAAATGGTAGAGGGTGGTTTTTCTGATTTCTCCTATCAGGTCTGCATTGACAAGCGTGTATTTGTCAACTAGTGGCTAATCAGGCTGGAAGATTTTGGGGGGTGGATTTTTTTTTTTGCCTTCCCCATTTTGTATTTCTTTTTGGTAGATAAAACTTGTAGCCACAGCTGTAAAACAGCTTTATAAATATTCCTCTTTCTGTAGATTTTATAACACATTTTAGCTCACTCTAGTAGAACAGGTTGCTTATCTGATAAAATTTTTCTTAGGCAGGTAAGATGACTATTGAAATAGATAAAAATGTATATTATCAAAAACTTTACTTGAATGGCAGTATAATTGCATTTAACAGATTCACCACCCCAACTTTCTAATAAAAAAAGTAGATGTCGTAGCTTTTTAGTTAATGAAACTAACCTAACTGCATGAGAAGTAAAAAGTATTTATTCAGGTATAAATTGTTAACACCAACTATAAACACCTACTTTTCTATCCCTGTTACATTCCCTGTATAAAAGTAGGAACTACTAACTAGGACAGATTTGTTGCTAGACAAGTTTTGTTCTTAAAATGTTATGCTTTGTTTCCAGACAGCAATTTATTTGGTGGGCTGCACATTTGTAGTGAGTTTTATGATAGACTTTATAACTACAGGTTTTCAAAAATCACACTCTATTTATAATTTTTTCAGGAGATAAATCTCCCCCTAAACTTGAACCATCAGATGCATTACCTCTTCCTTCAAACTTGGAGACTAATTCAGAACCACCAACCCTCAAACCAGTAGAACTCAATCCAGAGCAGAGTAAGCTTTACAAAAGAGTAAAATTTGATAATGAATTATATAGCACTTCCATTCAGAAAGAAATAAATGGACACACTCCAGAACACTTACTTGACAGTAATCTCAATGAGTCGACTGTTTCTGCTGTAGCTGAGTCATCAACTGATGTAAACAGACGTACATCCATTCTCTTCTGCAAATCGAAAAGTATAAGCCCCCAAAAGTCTGCAAAGAACACTGAAACCCAGCCAACTTCTCCACAGCTAGGGACCAAAACCTTTTTGTCTGTAGTCCTTCCAAGGTTGGAGACACTTCTGCACCCAAGGAAAAGATCAAGGAGTGCATGTGGAGATTCTGAGGTTGATGATGAGTCCCCTGTAAAGCGCTTGGATACAGGTAAATGCTACAAAACTTAATTGAATGGCTGCATCTGGAAAGTTAACCTACCTGTTAATTTTTTTTACATACATGTGATTGTTAATATTCAGATTTTAGCACTTGGAGCTGATTTTTCCTCATAGTTGTGTAGCTACAGTTCAGACAGTCACCAATTCATTTTTTGTTTGGCCCTGGACAATTAGAGTTACTGAACCAAGTTTTGGTTCTTTGGTTTCACCATGCAATTTTCAAGATTACACATATGGGTGGGTGACTTTTTCTTTTAAAAATTGCCTTTTGTTGCAACCAGTAGGAAAGATAAATCAGCTGCTTTTTTGCAAATTCCCAGTTAAATTACATGGAAGCTTCACACATGGTGCCAAAACGAAAACTCTTGTAAAGTAGGAGCATGAAAAATATATGTTCCATGTATGAGTTAATTTTGCTGTGGTGTTACTCCAAGCATATTTCACATTATGCAACTGATGACTCTGTATGAGGTGCTTTGTATACCCATGTATTTTATGGAAGTATTAAAATCCCAAAGTGTGACATTTCTTGTGGGTTTTTTCTTCAGTCTGTGCACTTTATTTAAAGTTGAAGAATCTAAGTGTAAGACTATGCTCTCAATGAAACTTCTCTAAAGAACATTTTAAAGAAACAGTGTCTTGATGCATTAGTGCAGAAGAGCTCAAGACATTAATTACACTTTTTCTTAGGGAACCATAGTTCTATTTATTTGAGAAGTTTGAATAAAACCTTTGAGGAAGAGAAACAGCATAAGAAAATTACTTAAGTATATTTCCTTAATGCCATCCATGGCAATTGCTGCAACTTTTATACTACATTTGAAATAAATACTCCGTTTCATTGTCATGTTGGTAACCCACATGCAGGTATGAAAACACCACGTGGTTTTATGTCTTTGAATGAAAGAGCTAGGAATTTAATTTGGACATTTATTATGAAGATGTGATCTGAAGGCTCTGGGTTGTTGGGGTTTTTTTGTGTGTTTGGGGGTTGTTGGTTGGTTTTGTAGGTTTTTCTGGTTTGGGGTTGGGTTTTTTTTGTTTGAATTGTGGAATTTTTTTAGATGTAGGGTGGTGCTTTCTGTTTGGTTCATTGCTTGGGGTTTGGTTTTTTAATGATCAAGTGTGGAGATGAGTGATTCTAATGCTGGAATCATAGCGTGAGAAAATGTTAAGTAAGATTTGTTTGAGAGGAAGTACCTTTCATTTATAGCTTTGGCTTTTTGATTGTTTTGCCTCTTCGGAAAGCTCCAGCTTCCACTCCTTTTCGTAACAGCCTGGCAAGAGCCTGCAGATTTCATCTGGTACTTTAGTTCTGAAGTAGGAATCATGTGAAGGTAGTGTGATGATATAAACAGCTTTGGTTTCCAAAGCTTCCAATTTGCGAGTCTTTATTCTGGATAATTTCATTATGTACCTGTATACAGTGCATTTTGATCACATCCACCATGAATCACTGTGCTAGATTATACCAGGAATTAGGACTAATACCTTGAAATTTTTATGTTAAACATTGCGAATTGTTTATTTGGGGGGAAAAAAAGTTGTTTTATTTCGTAAGAAAATTTCCATAATTCTTAAACAAAAAGGCAACAACAAACCCCAAACCCACCTGAATACCTTTAAAATCAGCTTTTTTTTTTTTTCCTTTTCTCTGTGTGGACTTAGGTGTATGTGGGGCAAATATGCTTTTGATTATCTTCAAAACAAACAGCCCAGTAACAGGAATCAAATCCAAAGGTTAAAAGAATTATTATTTTGAAGCAAAATTACATAGTCTCTTCCTGAAGTGAGTGGAGATACATAGGGAATTAATTTTATGTAAAACTAATACTTAGGGGGCAGTTATATTTAAAATTTTTATTTCTTCAAGAAGAGACTTTGTATGTGAATTGAAATGCTTTTGCCAGCTAATATTCACTTGGAGATGTTCTGGTTATTTAATAATACCTTCATTTCTAAGCACATACAGTTCATACAGATGTGTCAGCTTGTCAGATTTTATTCCTGTGATTCTTCTTCCTGTTTGCAGCCAAACATTTTGCTTTCACATTGGAAATTTTATTCCTTATGTTACTTTCCAATTTGTGTCTCCACGCTAATTTAAGCAATTTGCAGTTGGCAACTATTCTGAGCTACGATTCAGCAGGGAACCAGCACAAACTTCAGCTGCTTTCCAAGATTTAAAACTGGTTTAGTTGTTTTGTGTACGCAGCTACTGTTGACTCATGCAGATGACTGTGTTGTGTATGATAAAAATACATTAGATGATGTATACAGTAATCTGTTTTTTCATTTGGTTATTTTTCACAAAATTAATGTCATGCTGCAGGTGAAAATGGTTTTATTCAGCAGAATCCTGCAGACATGAGCTTTTCTCTCCAAAGCCATATGATCATGCTTCAGGCTTCTGGTGTGCATTCTTGTGAGTTAGCACCTTTCAGGAGTAATCTCTTTGGCTGAAAATTAATTGTTAGTGCAGTTTTCTTTGACTGCTATGAATGTTAAATATCCTCAATTCTACTGGATATTGGAAAAGTCATTGAAAAGGACTTTGCTTCATATGCAAAGCATTGAAATTCTGGACTGGTAGAGAGCTGGACTGTCACATCTTTTGGGTTTTTTTTTTACCTACTTGTAAGCAATGTCGGGTTTTTGCTGTTGCTTAAGGATGCCTTGTTTTTTCTGTCCCTCACCATACTCCATCTCCTCAGTGTTTACCCTTTTCATGTCACTCCTGCATTCTTAGATGAAGAAGTTCAAAGGAAGTTCTAAAGCTTATCTAGTTAAGTAAAACCACACCTACTTGTTCCCTTGTTTCATTATTGTCATGGACTGCTTTTATTAGACCCTCCTGAATTACATTTGGAGTTATTGTGCTTGGCAGTTAGTTTCAAGAAAGGCACATACAGAGTACACTGACACACTACTTTATAAGTGTGATGTCCCATTTGTTGTTGGTTTTAATACATAATATAGTTATTGAAATGCTAGCTGTTTTCAGAATTAGGGGACTCTTGAACAACATTGCTTAACCCTCAAAGAGGACTGAAAGCAGTTCACTTTTAATACTCTGACCTGCCTTTATATGTGATTCTTTTAAACATGGAGCAATAATGTACTGTAATCTTAAATTTAAATTTCTTACTGTTCTACTAGGGCATTATTACATATATAGCACATCCGTCTTTGTAGTTGCTATGTGGAAACTGACAGCTGCATAGTGAAGAGATGTGTTTTAAAATTTCCTATAAATACTTGATGTGTCCTGGGTTTGTTTCATATGATATCTATCCATTTCAAAAAGAGGCCAGGTTGTTTTTACTTGAATTTTGTTCACATCAGAGATGGATGTGTGAATCTCAAAGATCGGGCATGTCAGATCTTAACTGTGACAAGTTCAGTGACCTTTTCAAAATATCCATCCTATACTTAACCTTGCTTTTTTGTTACAAAGATCAATCCTTTTTGTCAGGAAGTAGTTGGTGCAGTTATCGCAGCTGAGAAAAATGAAACTGATTGATGGATAGAAGGTAGATTGTACCATTACAAAATGGGCCTGTAACAGTTGTATATAGGTAACATGGCAAGTGGAACAAATGATTGGTTTAAGAAACCTTTTAAGCATTGTAAAATGGTAGATTAGGTTGAGATGAAATTTGCACGTGCGCTTGGTGTTATCAGTCACCTTTAAGCTTTCATAAATTTAGGTTAGTAATTCACAGTTACTGTGTTGGTGCACTTATTTTTTAATTAGAAACAAAGTGTTTAAAATACACTGTCCTAAAGCAATCACGTTAACTTATCATAGAGTTAGGATACCAGATAGTGATTATTATAGTGCAGTGTGTTGGTATTCTGTTATTTCTTGGCCAGATAACAGTAGCTGAAAATTTCAGTGAAACATGTAATTTACTTAGTACTTTTCCTTCCAGATACCCGTTTTTTCTCAAGGTACTAAAACAGATGTAAACAAATATTTATATCGTGGATCACTAAATTAGAATATTTAACACAGTGAAAATAGGGTTGTGGGGGGAGGCAGGAAAATTTATAATTTCTTAATACCTACTTTTCAGTTATCAGTATACGACAAATGCAGTTATACCTTTTAAAATCTGTTGGTGAATGTTGGGCTGACTGTTTCTGCTCGATTGCTACAGTGTGTTTGATGGCACTTAAGAACTGTCTGCAGGTAACCTATATATGGAGTCCACTTGCATTAGATAGAATTTAGTATTGTATTGATGACCACTGTTACTTAATTTCATTTGGTACAGTAAGGGTAGAGATTATGTCTGGGCTGAAATGGAACACCATTCTTTGAATTCTTCAGTACCTGATTTTTAATAAACCTTTGACTCTCTGGAACACAGATCAATTTGATTAAAAGTCAAGTTTCATATGTGCAGCATTCAGTTACTGTTCTCTAAATGGAGGAAATGAAAGTAAAACTTGCATATCTAAGAAACATATGCCCTCTAGGTAAATAACAAACTACACTAGAAGTTCCTTAGTGGAAAAAAAAATCAGCCAAATTGCTCTTCTGGTTAACATAGGCAGAAATGTGTGTGTGTGTGTGTGTTCATGAGTAAAGTGCAGTAATTGACTACATCTACTGACAGATCTGCAGTCCTGGTACTTTGAATTAAAACTATTATTTTGCTTTCTTTCCTTTAGATGCATAGTGATTGTTTCATGTGAAATTTAGTTGAGCACTTAGCAGTGCCCCAGAACTTCAGCTGCCTGCCTTGGGGCGGTTTGAAAACAAAAGAATTCAGGGTGTATATGCAAACAAAGTATTGTGGATTGTGAAGGCCTAAATCGAATTATCCTGTTTCAGTGTAGAGACATGAGGGCTATGGGTGCTTGACTGCTGAGCTGTCAGGATAAGCTTGCTTGGTTGTTTTTTTTTTAATGGATTGATAGGCCACTGAGAAACTTACGACCATTTGCTAAGAAAATAAAGCAAATTAAAGAGAGAAATTG